ATCTTGGTTTTATGCTTTCACTCAGGAAAGGAATATTTTGTACCTGTAGATATTTTATATCAGAACTCTTCTAAAAGACTGAGCTTAGTGATCGCCATCAGTGTCTTAATGGTCCATGTATATATGAATATATTTTTTATATATAATGTGAATGTGTATGTCTCTTCATGAGAATGCAAGTGAAAGAAAGAAGATTCTTCAATGCTTCTAGTAAGGTATTTTAGGTTAAACCATAATAATTCTGTAATGCTCTGTCTTCATAATGAGGTATCAGAAGTTGTGTCCTCAGAAAGACAACCTATGGGGAAGATACCTGTGTCAGGGACCGAAGACGAGTCTAAGGCCTAATTGTATTTGGTCTGTGATTGTGCACGTCAACAAGATAATGTAGAAGAAGAACGTATTGTTAGTTGGCAGGACTAACCTTCAGAAATGAAACTATGTATCAGTGGAATTCATCCTGTGAAAGGGGAATGATAAAGCTGTTGTTGGCATGGAGATGTGATCATGGGCTGTTGTGACCTCATCTCATGCACTGGGCCCCATGTGAGACGATGTTGAAACTGGCCACTCCTGAGGAGGAGATGTAAGGGTGGAGGAGAGAGGATGACATGATGCACACGGTTTTCAGCAGGGAACACGCTGAAGGTGTGTCACCTCCTGCCCCTCCCACTCAGGAGCCGTGCTCTTATCTCCTTCTGCTCGGCAGCTTCTCCAACATCCAGGGGTCGGTATGTATTTATTGCAAACACAGCTAATAAAATTGACTTGCTTTGCTGTTCTGACTGCATCTTGAGTTTTTTGTGCGCAGGCATTCTCCTGAACCCGTAACAATACCTTCCTACATCTTTCTTCCCTCCCCCTTTCATTCCTTCTCCTCCAGACTGATTACAGTAGCCTTTGAGAATTTTAAAGATTTTGAGTATCCTTGAAACGAACCTGATCTTTCTCTTGGAGCCAGTATATTATTACATATGGTTCAGGTCTTGTTTAAGATCTAGAACATCACCCAGACATTTTCCCAAAAGCTGGATAATTTGGAGCAGAGGAGTGTGTGGCACTGTATGGGCCAGTGTCTAGGGTAGTGGTCTGCGTTTGCACTTTACCCCTAGCAAGTGCATAATCCAGAAAAACCAGTAAAAGTTTTGGCCTTGGAAAAGATATTCTGCCACCCTGGCAATGCAGGAGGATCCAAACCCCTGCAATGTGCTGGGGCCTGGCCCAGGCCTACTGAGCCGTGCCCAGCACTGCCCAGTGCCCTCGGGAGAGAGAGAAGGTCTCTGAATCTGACAGTGAGACACCAGGCCCGCAGCTGTTCTAGTCACCGTGACAGACACTGTGGTTAGTTCACGCCTGATGACAAACAGTGCCACTGAAGCAGAGAAACAACATGTGCTGGTGTCACTTGCCCCTGTACACAAGCAGAAGAAATGTATATGAAGGTAACCTTTCAAAAAAGATTTAGCAAAAGCAGTCAAGGAGAACAAGGAGGTTGGAGAGGGTGGAGAGGAGGAAGAAGCAGGGCTATCACAAGGGCCATTTTCAGTGCTGTTGCTAAGGCCATCACTTACAGTGATAATGTGTTTTTTTTACATGCATGTGCTGGATTTCATTTTTGAGGAATTTCTTAATATAAGAATAGGTGTTTTGATGTGTTAATTAAGGGAGAGATGAGGGAGGCAGGGTGGCACTGAATTAACACCTTTCATTCCTGCACGCATAGCAACTTTATTAATGGGTGATGTCTTGATAAGCTGTAGTGCCAAAAATTATTCTAGCAGTAACTGATCCATTGATTCCTGCGTTATCAAATGTGTAAGTTCAATACATGCTATTTTCTTATGGAGAAAGGTTTAAGAAGTCATCACTAAGATCAAAATCAGAGCACAAAAAATTTTACTTTCTAGGAACCTTATTAGAAAGTGTGATGAGTCAGAAAGTTTGTATTGTGGGTATCTGTGTAACTTTGACTTTTCAGGACCATGGTGTGGGCATAAAATCACTTTCTTATTTCATGGGCTCTCAGTGGAATAATAGTCAGCCTATGAAATAAGCCAATAAAACCTTGCCATTCATCCTTGATGGTTGCTTGATTTTGGCTCATACAGATATTTTTCTGACTTTTCTAGAGCACTGTTGCTGAATGCATCTATATGTATCCATTGATAAAATAAATACCAAAAAATAGAAAAGATGCAAGGTCAAACCTGCTTTAAACTCTAGTGACTCTGTATCAAAGCTAAGCTTAGCTATAGCCTGTTGGTTAGCCTGATTTAAAATGTTTTGGTGTAACATGGAAGATTATTGAACTTTTTTTTTGCCGTTTCCTTCTCTATGCACTTGGATCGCCAGTAGCATCAGTGGTAGATTTCATTACACCCAAGCAATGAAATTTCTATTCTTTCTGTATAGTGATTTCTGTGGACCGTGAAATTATTTGCCTGTGTGGAATACTGAGAAGTATTAACTTTTCTGAAGCACTATCAATGTATAATTCAAAAGGGAAGTATACGTAGAATATCCACACTCTACTGCTGTGCAAATCTTGTTATGAATTCCCTTTTATTAATGTATGGGAATTTTCTTTTTAGATTGCATTGTTTTAAATTATTTAAAATAATTAGTTTGACACATTTTTAAATGTATTAATAATCCTATTATCTCAATTTATCTTAAATGTTCTGTCTGATCAAATATATTCCAAGATGTGCTTTCCTCCTCTAGGATGAGTGGTATAGGATTTGGTGAATATGGGGAATATAAAGGTTATGGCATAATGTATAATGATGCAAAACATCTACTAGACATTCAAGAGAAGATTAAAACCAAAACATAAACTAAAACTGGGAACCAGTGAAATATCTCTTTTCAAGGAGGAATAGGCCCTTCTCCCTGAATAAGGGCTGTGTTTCTAGAGACCTCTGGCACTGCATGCAGTTCTGCCTGGCCACAACTTCTGTTGCTGCTGCTGTGTGCAGCAGAAGGAAGAGGAGACACTTGGGGAGCACAGACAGCAAAGAAAGGACTGAGATTTTTCAGGAGATACTGGAAAAGAAATTTAGGGCACAGCTGTCTTAAATATAATTTGTTCTCTGTTCACTGATTCATGGGCTGAAATCCATTATTTAGCCAAAGTGTCTTCCCTCTACACCTGTTTCAAGTCTGTACGTGAACCATCTACAAATAAAATGGCTTGTATCTTAGGTTATGCACTTTATAGTGAAGATATGGGGGCATGGAGAAGCTACTGGCTAACTCAATTTTTGGAGCAGGCACGCTGCCTTTTATCAGTACTTATGAAAGACATTGCTTGAAAAGAAAAGTATCATATAATAGGATTTTTTTACAATTCCAGTCTAGTCACTTCAGTTTGAAGTCTGGCTTCATCTCCCCATGCTTACCATAGACTTCTGATTGTAAAAGCAGGAAGGGAAATTGCTTCCCAGTCAAGATGTAAGATGGTTTTTGTTACTGATGACTGCTACTTCACTTCCAGTGATGTTAGCCTCCCTTTTGCTTTTGTTGCCTTCTTTGTCTTCCTGGGCCTTGCCTATGTAATTATTCCTGTAGAGTATGCTCTTCCTCATTGCCTGCTGGTTTGATGTGACACAGAAGGGCCCCATCATCCATGCTGAGCTCTTTTATGTTTATGCTATATTAATTTTCTGCTTTTGCATGTTCTACAACCATCTGTGAGTAGCTTATAATCTATTTCTGTGTTCCAAGAACTGTTTCTTTTCAATTTTGAACTGGAAGAATTAAAGTCTTTATATTTTTCCTCTAAACATCTCTTCATGGATATCTGATAGTCAATTCTTGCTCTGACTAGAGTGGAACACTTGTACCCAATTTTTGCTACTGATTTCTTTGCTCTCTCTGATCCTAATTCCACAGATGCTATAATAATTTTACTTGTCATTTAGTTTGGTAACTGATGTACTGGTCTCAAGATACTTATCTTAAAGATATATTGAAGCCTCAGAATATTTTTGCATAGCATTCCAAGACAGAAGTCAGTTGATACGGTTGAAATCTTGTCCAAAATCTCTTATGCATCAAATGTTTCCGTAACTTTCTTTTGTGTTGAGGAATGTGATGTTGCTGTTCGTATCTGTTCAAAAGAGTGTTACAAAGATGATGATGTAGCACATCTCATTAGGTGTCCTCTGCTTTTGCCTTCTGCCCCCATGTGCCTTAAAACACAGGCTCTAGCATGGAAAATGTGTAAAGCTTCATTTAGTAACTCTTGATCAAAAAGTTGGTAAATATCTAACCGGTTTAAAATCCCACAACCCAAACCACTTTTCTAAAGAAGGTTTTTGGCTCTTGGAAGGGTTAATAAAGCCAGAGTGATTGATGTGTGCTGGGGATTAGTCATAAGGAGCATTCATGGAATCATAAACATACTCTATGTAGCTTTAATAGGGGAGTCAATGGTTTCTCCAAAATTAGTTTTTAAATAATTGGAACAAAGGCACTAAATTTTGTATTACATGATGCAAAAAGAAATAGAAATATAAAGAAAATAAATAGAACCGTGTCTTAGTTATGCTAACTTGTCTTTTAATAAAAAGTAGTTTCTTTGCTTGTCTATATATTCTGTAGCCATGTTAGGAATACAGCTATTTCTGGGTAACTAAAACCACTTTAAAACTATGCTTTTGGTAAATCAGCCTGCTTTCTCATATTCTACATGTAACGCTTGGAAAGAATTCTTCATAAATTGGTTTTGTAGATATCTATTCCTCCAAACTTTCTGTGAAATTCTGATGTTCTGCATGATTTCTTTCTAATGTAATGGGATTCTGGTTGGTTAACTCCAGTGCTAGGCAACTGACCATCATATGTATCTTTAGGAAAAGCCTTTAGAATAAGGCAGTTAAAGAATAGGTAAGCTACCACAGAAAATAAGGATTTTCAACTTCCAAGAACATCCGCGTTAATTAGAGTTACCCAGAATGGAAGCAGTACGTAATATGTTACATCTTTTATATTTTCAGTTGGATAGATTTGCCAGTATAAGAATTCCAAGAAGTAAAAAAGAAAGACCTCCTCTGCCACATATGAAGCAGTCACACTCCACAGATTGGTCATCCACACCCATGGACCTGGAGGGTTTTGCTACAAAACCACTGTCGGAAAGGGAAATCATAGCACTGTTTGAAAAAATGATGGTAAGAGTCTTACAGTTTCTTTTACTTAAAGAATGACAACATGGCTAAGTGATAGGTGGAACAGGTATTCTTCTGTGCATGTGTTCTAATCTTTACCTGAATTATTGATATAATTGTTGTTGTGAGTTGTAATTGTGTATTTATTAGGATGCTTCTCAGGAAATAAAGTATTGGATTATTTTTGCAAAATTTTGGTCCAAGTATATTTAAACAAATTAGAAATGAGATTATGCAACATGTTTTGAGGAGGAACAAGAAATGGGGGATCTTTCTTCCTTTTAAGATGATCTGAAACTTTTACAAAGAGATTTTATGCCTTCAAATGTCACGGTCACATTTAGTTCTCAATTTATATGCCATGTCACTCTTGCACAAAAAGAAAGACTTGCCTCCAAAGCAGCATTTGTCTGCAAATTTGCTTCTTTCCTTAGTTGTCATTGTTAGTGCACTACAAAAGAGCAGTCACAAAGACCATGTGGCACTGGTAGCACCTCAGTAGGTTGAGCTTTTTGTCGTGATGATGACATTTTGGGCAATTGAAAACTAAACACGAATGGCCATGAGAAAAGAGTGACTGAAATCTGAAGAGCACAAGAGAACACTAACAAGGAGAATGATGCCCAGATTATTATTTCTTTCTCTGCCTCACAGCAAGTAACAAGTAACTCTTGAAATACAAAGGGACTGCCAGGGACTGGCATGTGGAGAAAATGCAATGTGCAATGAGAGAAGTACCTTCGTGGAATTTGTACTTCCTAGTACTCAGTGATAATAGCTTAGTTTTGAAGAAGCTTTTGTAGAACTCTTGAGAACTGTAACTGAAGGATAACATGCAGGTTTTTCATGGTTAAACTGGTGAGGGAAAGGAATAATTAACTGTTACCAACTTCTCTATTTGTACTTATTGCCAAATGGTTCATTTTTCTTTGATGTCTTGCTTCTCTTAAAGATTTCGCTGTAACACATAATTGCTCAGAAAATGGGAGAGTTCTTTTTAATAAAATTGAAGGTGTGCCTTCAAAAACACCCCTTGCATTTAGATTGTATTTCTCTACCATCCTAAAGACATTCTGGTATAGAGTAGACTGTGATGTTGTACTGTGCCATAAATAAATAGAAACTTTCAATAAATCCTCAGAAACCTACTACTGCATGTCTAGATAAATATAGATGCTTATATCCATGGATCCTGGAATAATTAATTCCAGTTTTAAAACTACTTTGCAAAATATAAAGTAGTGATGACATCTGGATAATTTGAATACTTTCCTAGTTTCATTGAATAACAAAGCACTTAAACTTGTATTAAGCTACTTTATCAGTGTTGTTTTATCTATAACATGCACTACAGAAAGGATTTTTCAGATTATCCACATTTGAATGGGCTGGAATAAAGCTAGTTTAGTCACAGTAGATTACATAGCTAATTATATATTGTAGCCTCTAGTTTGCTGTTCTGATCAAATTAAGTGATTTGGAGGGGTGGATTGGTGAACAATTTGAACAGTTTGTTGTAGCCAGGCTTTTAGAAATAATTTTGCATGGAAAAAATAGTCAATGTGTTAGTACTGAAGGGAGAAGTTTTTCAATTCTTAGGGTTTACTGAATGTCTTACCTTGGGGTTTTCCTGGATGCATATGGCTTCCTTCTCCCTTTATTTTATCCAGTGGCATCTTGTGTGGTTTTCATGGCAAAAATTATGAAAGAGCTCATAAAACCAGATAATAAAGATAATAATTGTCATTTACGTCCTTTAGTTTCTGTTAGTCCTATTAGGAAAATATCCATGTGAAATGATATATTCTTCTTTTCCAAAGAGGTACTGCTTACCTGTAGAATATATTTCAGTTATTTAGGAGATAAAGGATGGAGATGAAGTATTTTATTAACTAAGCAATATCTGTTGTGCCCCTTGTATCACTCTAGTCTGTATAAATTAATTGTCTCAATGATGTTTCATTTGTTAAAAACAAGAACAAAGAAATTACTTTTTAATGCACACACAGACAGAATATTTCCCATAAATTAACCTGCTGTTATACCTAGGCTTATGGAATACAGTTTATGTTGACAGGTTTCTTAATACTTGGGGTTTTTTTTGTGTTTAGAAGTTAGATACTTTAAGTTTAGAAACTACTTTTCAGAAAACATGAAAAAGTAAGTCTGAAAGAAACTATTTTAAATAGAAGAATGATCTTTACAATAGCTACATGATAACGTGAAAAGGGTTTTTTTTTAGTTCAAGTTAAGTTCAAAATTAATCCTGTCCCAGCTGAAACCAGGACAGGGGTCAAGCATTTTCTGCAATAACTTCTCAAAGCTTGGATTTATACAAAAGTGTAAATGTTTCTAGGAACTGTGCTTCATTCTCTTCTACTCAGCTATTGAAGGACAAAGAAACTTGAGTTTTGGTGTAGTACAAATTCTAAGGATTGTCTGTACTGTTTATCTTTGATTTCTGACTAGGTGAAATAACTTTGATATCAAGATGGTTACTCACTGATTTTGTAGCATTGCTCCTGCCAAAGCTGATGAGGATTCACCTCATGAGTCTCAGCTGAAAATAACTGCAGTAATTCTTGCTAAGCTTGAGCAATGCACATAGTAAATCACATGCTGTATGTGCTTTATATGCATGAGCCAAAATTGTTAATTCTTCCTGATAACTTTTATTTTATTTTTTTTTCTCTTTTCCCTTTTATTTATTAACTTACACCATGATGAGAAATGCCATTTCTCACAGATGTGCAACTGATTACAATGATCAGAGCATGTGTAGGCTGGAGCAGTAGAACTCCCTGTGTCATAGATGCTAGTGACATTCAGAAGTGTCACTTGTGTGGTTTTCAGTGTAGGTCTCTCTGCTCTTTTTGACCTCTGGATTTATATTGGGGTGAAGGAATTATGATGGGGTTTTGATAATGGTTGGATGTTTTGATTTAATCCTTAAGAATTTTGGCCTTGCTTATTGCAAAGGTGATTATTAATTTGTGAAATTGTTTCAGTGCAAACCACATTCTGCTGCCAAGATGGACCATTTGGGAACAGAGGAAGAAAGTTATGGAATAAATTAAAAATTAAAAATATGTAAAATACTGGTTTGAGTACATTTATAAATGTTTTGGGAAGTATTAAATAATGCTCTTCTGTAGTTTGGTGCATACATGTGTGAAACTGTGGATCTTTCCTAAGAAAAGAGTGTAATAAAATTGGTTGTGATGCACTTGTTAATCCTAGTATAGTTGACTGGTTTTGTTTTTTTCAGTGTGAGTTCAGAGGGATATGGATAAGGATTTTTATGGTTTTGATTAACATCTTATGAAAAGTTGTTTTTATAACAGCTTTCACTTGTATGAGTTTGTATTTTTGTATCTTTATTTATTTAAGTCAGTCTCTTATATTAAAATAATTCTGTTGATGTATGGTATTTAAGACTGTTCTTTCTTTTTTTTCCTATCCCATTCTAGGAGGATATGAATTTAAATGAAGACAAGAAGATGCCATTGAGAGAAAAGGATTTTCATACCAAAAAAGAAATGGTGATGCAATATATCAGCAGTGCTTCCAAGTCTGTAAGTAAATGACTAAAAGCTTACATTATTTCCTGTTGGTCAGAAAAAGTGATGCATGCATATTACATTCCTTTGACTAACTTCTGTTTCTCATAGTGCTCTTTGAAAATGTTTGTGTCTGTCTTGCTGTTTTACAAGTTACAGTGGCAGATAGTCACTTGTACTTAGAATGTGTCTTCTATACAGAAACCAGCATTTCTTTTTGGTAAAGATATGGCTAAGAGTAGAGATGGAAAGATTCTGCAAAAACTTCTTGCAAAAGTTTGGTGTGAACCTTTTTCTTTTCTAGCATTGTTTAAAAATAATTCCTCAGCTGATGAGCCTTTTTCATGCCTGACTTAAAACAGAGTTCATGTTTGATGTTATGGAATAGCTGATAATGAAAGTGTTGTGCACAAAATCAATTATTGTCCATTTTTTACCTATAATGATTGATTGCTCTAAAGCAGTGCAAGGAGTTGTGTATAAAGGCCAAATTAAGGATTCACTTGGCATAAGAAGAAGGCTTAGTTTTTGCAGAGTGAGAACTGACTCCTGTGCTAAATGCTGCATAGCTAATCCTGTCCTCAGATATTCTGATTGTTTTAGAATTCATGTGTTTGAATCTTCAGCTCTCACTGCTGTATGTAACTAGAGATATCAGTAAAAATAATCTGGATGTAATTATAACTAGTTACTGAGAAACTAAAACATTAAATATAGTAATTTAAGTGAGATATGTATTTTACTGTCTACTTCACATGATGTATATTATTAGTGTTATGCTTTAGCACTTTTAGTAAGGTAGGTATGCCTAGTGCAGGACCTAACTGCCTGGAGATTACATTTTTTAAGATGAGTTTATCAAAGCTACTAGTCTTGTCTATAGCTTAACAGGTCCTTAATACCAGAAGATTAGGTCTAGCTTGTTTTTCTTTTTTTAGACATATTGCATGGGAAATCAAGAAACTTCAGACTAATAGATCTTACAACATTCTTGAAATTTATCTACCCAAAATAGTATGTAAGGGTTTATATATCATGGGCACCCCTGGCCTCTATATGTATTTTAAGACCTCAGTTTTTTGATCTAAAAAGTAATGTTGTAATAGAACATGACTGGCTGTGCAGAGTTGTTGCATTCACATCTGTTGCTGAAATCATAGCATGCTGATGGTGGTGATGTTAAGACTCTCTTGTCAAGAGAAAGATTTTCAGGTCTTTGCTTCTTCGCCACAGAGTATGTCTCATTGGTCCTTCTTTCCGAGTGCCATTCACAATTTTCCTCTTTTCTTTGGATGTTGTCACACTTTTGTTTTGGCAATGGAAACTTCTTGCACTATGCCCAGAGGAGCTGTATAAGGTGCTTTCTGGAAAAGGACAGGTCTGTTTCCTCCCCCAGGACAATGATTTGCTATCACACACTGTTGTCTTGTGTGTTTTCCTAAGGCTCCCAACAGCATTTTCTTTTTTCTATTCCCTTCTCTTTTCTTCCTCTGCTGCCAGACCATGTATTCCCTTCTCTATGGTGGGAGATGACTAAAGAGCAATCTGTGCAGGCAAACTTCTTTCCTGAACTCTCTTTCTGCTGTTGTGTCTTTACTGGAAGTGACATTCACCTGTTGTGTACTGGGAGAAGCTGTTTCAGTGAGGCACAGATTCAGTACTTCAATCCAGTTGTGCTGCAGATGATTTCAGATTAGTGCTGGAGCTATTGGGATGGGAAATTCCTTCCCCTTGCAATTGAAAACTCTTTCTTCTAGGCATGCTCTTTCTTTCCTTGAGTTAGTTGGACTGAGTGCCTTCTGAGTCTAGAGAGAATAGTGCACTGCACCCCAAGAGCACTTGGTTAACTTTTGGTGTACCTTGACTTTGTGAAAGTGTCATACTTTTCTGGAACAGGTGAAATGCCACGTAGCTCCTGACTATTGTGTGCAACTAATCCCATATTGGGCCTCTCCTTCTATGAGTGATAGTGCAGTAACTTCTTTTGGTGGCTCGTACTTCTTTTCATACTTCTTGAACTTTAAGGAGATAGGTACTAAGATATTTCGCCTTGGGAAAGATATCCTCATTCACAAATATTATGGAGAGTACTGAGCATGTTTCATTTAAAGCAATTATCATTTGAAGAACTATTAAAATGAAGAACAGAGACTGCACCTCTAATGAATCAATGAAAATGAAACAGCCTCTGGTGATCAAAGTGGGCTCTACTGTAATCAAAGCTTTATTATTGACCGCAGTGTCAGGGTTTCTGTTTCTCAGAAGTGCACAGCTCCTTTCCAATAATCACAAAGCACGCCTCTTTGCATAGTAATACCTGCAGAAAAGTTTTGAAAATAAAATTTCATGTTATGGAGTTAATATTCAAGGGGAAATAAAATGCATTACTCTCATGTTACTCAACCATTGTTTTTGCTGTTTTATACGTGCAAAACACACAAACTGGGTTTTTAAAGTGAATTTTCTTCTTAGTATTTTGTTTTTGTTGTTCGCATTGTGCCCTTGTGATGTTTTAACTAGATTAATTAATGCTGACTTCATGCTGCATCTGCTCACAGACCAGTTGTTCTTCAGTTGAGCAATTAAGTTTCTAGAGGCACTGATGCCTCAAGATATTTCCTGTCTCTCAGTAAACTTGAACATTTTGAACTTAAGCAGCTTTTCTCATGCTGAAATACAGCTAATATAATCTGTTTCACAATTGACACCAAATGCAGCTCTCATTTTATTTAAGCACTGCAGATGTATCATATTCTTATTATGTTGCAGAACTTTGGCATAATATGAATAAGTGGTACTTAGCACTGTGGTAGTTTGTTGTACAGACATGTTTACGGGTTCTTTTGCATAGGGTGATGTTCCAGTGGGGAACTGAGTCTGAAATGGGATGACTGGTTGCTCTCTGGATGTTGATGTGAGTCTCCACTGCGTGTGGCACTGTTTTCAGATGGGTCACATGAGGCTTTCTGAAATGTCATTCTAGTGCTTTCTTCTAGTCTGACTGGGCTCCTGTCCCATGTGACCTTTGTACTGCACACATTTGCTATTGATTATATTAAAGTCCTTCCAAAATATCTTCTAACCATCTTAACTGTATGTCCTATTCATATGACTGTCCTATATGACTGTGCATCAAAAGAAAGAAATTTTACTGACAACTTACAAGTATTTTGGTTACATCAGTTTTGTCAATTTTACAGCAAGAACTGCTGGGAGAAGTCACTGGAAATGACAGATTCTCCACACAGGATATTAATCCTTATGCTTAGGCATACAAGTAGTGCTTATCAAGTAGTGTATGCACATCAGGAGCTGCCAGCAGAATTTCTGAGACGTCTTGAAATTTCCAACTCTCTTGTAACATTTAGTTAAATACTTTGTCTGCTGGGAGTTTGGTCATTTTGTCTCTAGTCAGTCTCTTATCTTATCTATGCAGAGTCCAGCTGGAAAGAGCCATGAAAGAAAGCCGAAGTCAGTGAAACTACTGAGTTTCATTTTGTTTGCGGGAACATTTATTGTTCCTGATTTTTAAAAATTTTCTATGGGTTTCCTACATCTGTCTTCCAGATTCTCACCTCAACCTTTGCTGTACATCTCATCGACTTTTTTTTGTGGAGCATAGTTATTGGAAGTTACCCTCATACTTAAGCAAGTAGGGATATCTATCAATTCAGGATCATGTTTGGAATGACATTCCATGTATTACACATGATGTTTCAAAATATAACATGAGATGCTATATTTTTGGGAGGATTGCTGGCAGCAGGTGTTTAGAATTAGACTGGAAGAGACCCTGGAGATAGTTGCATCCAACTTCTTATCTATTCCAATTTTAATATCTCTGACAGGGGAGACTACACAGTGTGCCTGAGCAACCTGTTCCAGTGCTTCACCAGCCTTGTGCTTAAGAAAACAGAGGGAGGAGGGGGAAAGTTTGTGGTTGTCTTATGTTTAACCAATTTCCTGTATTTCAATTTGTTCTTCTTGTCCTTTCACTGATAGGGTTCCCCTGAGCCTTCTCTTCTTGGGGCTAAACAATCTCAGTTCTACCAGCCTCTCCATGTACTACAGATTCTCTTGTAATTGTGCCCACAGCCCTTTCTGGATTCATTCCAATATGTCCGTGTCTGTCATGCTGGAGAGTCAGCAACTGGACAGAATTCTCCAGATGTCTCACCACTTCTGAGCTGAGGGGAAGAGTCATCTCCCCCAACCAGCTGGTGATGCACTCACCAGTGCTCAGCTTGTCATTCATCACAACCCCTATTTTCCTACAAGCCTACATTCCAGCTGGTAGCTTCAGCACACGTTGGTGCATGGGTTTATTCCTCCTCAGGTTCAAGATTTACAGTTTTCTGTTGTGGAACTTCCTGAAATTCCTCTTCCCATTTTACCTGTCTGTTGATGTTCCTCTCGATGGCAGCTCAGCAGCCTGGTCTGTCTGTATACACTTCCCAGATTTTAACTTCATTTCTTTGCTAGAAACTGTTTGATCATCTACTTCATAGAAAAAAAGATTACTTCTCAGTATTTCCTGAGGATCTAACAAAGGGAGAAAACACCACCTGTATGAAACTAGCTATAATAATATAATGAGACTACCTTACCATTTACATTTAATAATTTCAAGTTATTATTGCACTGCAAGTCTAATTCTCTTCAATTACTGACTTAAGCCACTAGTTAATCAAGAGGTATTTAGTAAGTCTCTTTGTGCAACATGACAGTTGTACTTCTATTTTCAAATAAAGGAGTCTTGCAATGAATTAAGTCAAATCTAAGTTTTATGCACCATTGTATGCCTGCTTTTTTGTATTTAGATATGTACTGTAGAAAATACATGGTATGCTGCTTTTTTGCTCTGTATGCTTATGTGAGTGCACTTACCCTTCTGGACATGTGCCCTGTGATCTCTTCAGAGGACCTCATAATTGATCTTTTCTTCTGTTGACTATTGACTTATTAAGATCTTTGCAATGCATAAACAGAATCCATTCAATACAAAAACTTTATTTCACTGAGCATGTGTGATAAATTTGTACATTTCATGCCTGTTGTTTTTGTCTGCTGGTAATGAATTTATTCACAAAATGACCAAATTTAGTCAGCGTTTGGCAAATAGTAGATAGGCATCAGTTATAGGTTTGCAGGTCTACATTATATATTATTCAAGGAACAGAAATGAAACTTAGCCATTAATAATCTGTTTAAGTTCTATATGCATCAAATAAAGAACAACTGTATTTTCTGTGTTTCAGGGAAGTCTCAAGAACAGTAGGAAGATTTCTCCCCAAGAATTTATTCAGGATTTAAAATCTGGGTCAACGGATGAAAGACTAGTCACTTGCTTAGAATCTCTCCGTGTGTCCTTGACCAGTAATCCTGTCAGGTAACATCATTAGCACATGTTGAAGAGATTAATCATATTCTAATTTCTTAATGGATTAAAATTAATGGATATGTAGAAGGTTTTCTGGTTAATGAGTATGTGTGCATTAGTGAGTGATTTTAACTTCTTTCTGTTTCATTGATTATGTATCCTCTGTAGGTCTGTTATTTTTAATAGAGTTGGCTGATCTGTACAAGGTAATACTAAGAGAAGGTAAATTAAATGTGGTGCAGAAGCAATTCCCTTTGTTTTCTAGTGCTAAGTAGTCAGTTGTTTTTCATTTTAATTTTTGAAATATTTTCTAAGTCTTTGATCTTCTAACTTATTTTTGTCAGGGTAATCAATAATGGGAGTTAGGCACCTTGGTGTAAGCTTGTTCACCAGAAAACATATATATTTCTAAATGTGTCCTGCTGCTTCTGTCCAGTGTACTTCAGGCTTTCATCCTTCCTTCCTTCTGGTATTTTTTTCTGTACCTGTAGGGTTTATCTATTCAGAAGAAAGCACAACCTTTGTTTACCTGCTTTATTGAAGGAAGGTTTAACTCTTCAGTGACCATTGATAAGACTTAATTTTGATTTGTTTCATGCAGCTTGATTTCTGAATGCTGATTTTATTTCATTAAATTATATTTTTTTCTATTCTATTCTATTCTATTCTATTTAAATCCTTTTGTTTAGGGTTACCTTTTAAGACAGTGGTTTGGGGAAACTATATTTGGGGAAACATGATTTGGGGAAACTGTTTAGGTTGTAGTTTAAAATAATGCAAATGAAATGTTGGGACATGATTAGAAAAGGATTGCACAACTTTCTTTTCTCTGTGTCTGACTTGGCAGAGTTGCTGATATGGGTCTTCTCTATGGGTATTTGCTGCTTTCTTTCTATTATTTTGTTTCTGAATTGAGTTGTCTTATTTACAATATGTAATGTTTTATGAGGAAGGAAACTTGCTTTACAGTAGCCTGAGTTATTCTGACAAAGGGTTTTCAATTAGTCTTTTTTGTAAATTGTATTTTTAGTTCACAGAGAAAATCTAAATCAAGTGTTACTGATTTGTTTGATCTCTGGTACTTAGAAACAAATATTGAAATCAATGGTTTACTGCAAAAAGCTGTATTTTTTTCCCATCACTATAAAAAGTAAGCTTCTAAAAGGACAATCTTGGTCAGTAATATTCAGGTAAATAATTTAGGTGTTTTGACCTCATAGTTGCTATCACAGTTCATTAAAAGTGGTTCAAGTGATCTAGCTGTACATATTATTGCAGATAGCTAGTTATCCGCAACTATTTCTTCCCCTTTTGTGTAATAGTTACAACAGGTTGAATTTCATTAGGAGGACCTTTTTGATAAATACATTGAAAATAGCGGCACTGATAACTTAGTATTTTGTCATAATGACAAAAAGCTGAGTGTTTTCTTTGGGTAGTGTAAGTAGTTTTTGTTCTCTTGTGGAAGCAGAGGTAAAGGCAGTAAGAATGCATCAGTACATTAGTCTGTCATCCCCAGCTGTTGGATGTGCAGCAAAGTGGCTGCTCATAATTCTGCTAATACAAAATGTTCCAATAAGTGAATCTTGTCGGATTATCTTTAGGACAGATATGGGCCAGATCTGACAAAAATAGTTTCCAGTTATTTGCCTAATCTGTTTCAGAATAAAACACCCATCCAAGAAAGAGAGAGAATCTATTTTCATAATGTATTTACTTTTAGAAGAAAAAAATATAGAAATATCTGATTTTCTCTTCCTGTAATTGTTAGTGCTACTGTCAGTGTGGCATTACTTGTATTTGATATCAAGGGGTTTTGAGCAATAGTAAACAGGACCATGAGGCATCTGTCATATGAAGAAACAACTGGCCAAGGGTTTAACCTCATTAAAAGATGCCTTTCGTAGTAGCTGAAATTTTAATTTTTTATTGTGTTGGAGATATTTATCTTTTGGAGATATTTTGTGTTTAACACCACCCAATTATGCGTGCTTTTATTTATGGTGACAATTTTCTTTCACTCTGATTAGTCTTCAAAATGTCAATTTTTTAAAATGTCTTTTTTCTCCCTCCTAGCTGGGTTGTAAACTTTGGCCAAGAAGGTCTGGGACTGCTGCTGGATATTTTGGAACGATTGGTTGAGACAAAAAAGTAAGTATTTAGTATAAAATTAGCGTTTCTAAATATAAATATAATATAAATTATATATAATATCTAATTATGTATAGAATTGTCTTAATGTAAAGTTAGCTTTTCTTAATATTTAAAGAGCATTTATTTACACTAAAATTTTGATTTATTCAGTCAGGACAGACTTGTGAAAAGGAGTCAGCATAAAGTTATACAGTGTTTGAAAGCCTTCATGAATAATAAGGTATGGGATTTTATTTATTCTAGAAACAAAATTACTATAGTTCAATTAGATAAAGTACCTGATGAGTATAAGTCCATATGCAGTTTGGTGAAGTGGTGGGTTGGTCAGTTGTGGTTTGAAGTTCTTTCTGTCTGCCACTTTCTCTCTGCAGAAATATTGCAAGAAACTAATGCAAGCTTTTGGTGCTGTTATATGCCCTTCTTACAGAATAAGGGACCTATTTGGGACTTTTTCTCTCTTTTTTATTTTTTTGTTTTGTTTTGATTAGTTCACAGACTAAAATGTCATTTGAAATACTTATTTGAGGGGAAATATTGATGTCATTAATTAGATACTTGATGGTCATTTGGATTCCCTTCCTTACAAATGTTCTTCTGTTGTTTAGTATGGGTTGGAACGAATTTTGGGAGAAGAGAGGAGCCTTTTGTTGCTGGCCAAAGCAATTGATCCCAAGCAAACTAACATGATGACTGATATAGTTAAACTCTTATCTGCAATGTGCATTGTTGGGGAGGAAAACATGTAAGTACTGTATTTAAGCAAGAAATATAAGGTAATTTTACAATATCCCAAATTTTATCTGAATGAAATTACAAAATTTTCAATTTAGGTTTGAAAGTAGTATCTGTATTATATTGTCAGTTTTCAGCATACCTTTGTGTGTTTTTTTATCATGGCCATATCAGTGAGTTTTCTTTTTCACATCTGGATGTACTGGTTAGATGGAAATAGTTATACAGCAATTCTTTTGCTTACTATTTCTTCTTGTACTTTTAATAACCCTTGTAATCCAGTAAGTCATTCTTTGGTTACAAGGCAACAAGTATTGCTTAAACCTCCTAAATTTATTTACAAGAAATTGAGGCAGGTGAATAATTTGGCAACATGGCTTTTAAGATAGCAAATAAACAAGTTTAAATATCTCTCCTGAGTGAAATTATTTTCTTTTCTCACAGCCTTGAAAAAATATTGGAAGCTGTAACAGCAGCAGCAGAGGAGAGGAATGTTGATAGATTCTCTCCTATTGTAGAAGGTCTTCAGGATAACTCAGTTCAGCTGCAAGTAAGTAATTTTATTTAATCACTCTAACAAGTGAAAATAAAATTACATGATTTTCTGGACTGAACAAGTAATGAACAAGTCATTACAATAAAAGGGAGTAGGAATACTGTTTCAAGTTGGGGTCAAATTTTGGAATATTGTTTATAATTTTGTCTTTTAAGGTGTGGCATGGGAAGATTTGGCCTGGAAACATGGGGGTGTTCCAAGTCAATTTCTTGATTTTCCACTGAGATCTTAGCTTTGTGAGTCAAAAGACAATATATATTTAAAATAAAGGATAAATCATATGTTTGGATGCAAAAAGATCATATCACTTCTGGAAATATTTGTTCAAATTGACTATTGATTATAGTAAAAAACCAAATTTTTAGGCAACAGCATTTTATAATTAATGTTTTAAATCATTGAGAGGTCTGTGTCTCATGGTCACTTTATGATATCATAAAATTGCACTCAGAAGGTCTGAGGAAAGAAAACTTGCACCTTATTTTCAATTTGCCTCAGTTGGATGTGGAGTTTACTGCAGGAAGGCACAAAGTATTCACTTTGTTTGAATGATCATTATGAATCATTGGTCTGTGAGTGTAGATATGAACTCATTGATATTCGTGTAATCAGGTTGAACTGAGAGCTGTTCAAAATTTAAGATCTTTAAAATCTTCTACTATCTTGCTTAACATATTTATTTGCTTACATGAGACATATTTCTACTTGCTTAAAGCATATTTCAGCTTAAACTACAAATCTTGATTCTTATTTCATGTCTATTTCACTATTCTATTCTAAAGCTTCAAGCCTTCTCCAAGGTCTTGGGTCAAACACTGTATCCATCTCTATCTCTGAGCTTGTGTGTTTGAGGCCTTGGTAGCTCTCTGTGCTTGCATTTCCCACATTAATTCTTTGTTACTATTACAAAAATAGTAAAAGATTTAAGTTTGAAAGAAATGCTTGCATTACTCAGCTTTTATATTAAATAGTTCATGTCTGACAATAAAAGTTGCTGTTTGTTTCATTTGTCTCACAGAAAAGCTAACCATAAAGGAATATTTGCAGGTGGAGAATTGTTTGTAGTTCAATTTTTCCAGTACTGATGGAATTCTCTTTTGAAAAATTGTGCCTTCTTTCTTACCCCTTCTCTCTTCTAATCATAGACTGTTTTGGGTTGGAAGGCCCTTTAAAGGCCATGTGTTTCCAACTCAGCTACCTTGAGGGGGAATCTTTTCACCAGACCAGGTTGCTCAAGGCCTAGTTCAGTTTCATCTTGAACACTTCCAGGGATGGGGCATCCACAGTTTCCCTGGGCTATCCATGAATTTTATGGACTTTCAAAAAAATTCTGAGATATCAAATTTTCTCTGGGATATAAAAAAAAATTAAAATATTTTGATTTTAAAAAATATTAAATGTAAATATTAATGATTCATTCATCGTTATTTGATTCATTGATTCAATACTTTATATCACAAAAATTCTTTTTTTCAATTCCAGGATGTTGTATGTAAGTTAAGAGAATTCAAGAGTCTTTAGAGCATGTAAGGATTTGAGGTCTACCAAGTTGAAATTAGGAGGATGTTGTTTTGAGTGTAATGCTGAATTTTCAGGGCTTGTGTATATTTGCATCTGTGTAGATTTGATGAAGGAAAAAAAAACTACTGTAGATTTAATACAGACAAAAGTTACCATGTGTAACTTCCTTTTCTTTATCGTTGAAAATGCATGTGAAACTCCCTTTAAAGCAGGCTGTTACTCTATTGGAGCCACCAGGCAAGTTAAGTTAATCCTTGGTATCTCTCGTTTTACCCATGATGGGCACCCACTGTTTGCAGGGGTGCTCAGCTCCATGAGCAAGATACCACTGGTGAGATAACCAATTCAGTGCAGAAAACTTCAGCTGAATTACCTATGCAGCAGCAATTTTAATTTTTCTGGGACTACTATTCAGATATTAAAAAGTTTGTTTCTACTAGTTCTGCCTTCTATCTCAGTTGGGCTATACCTCCATCTGGTATTTTGTCATCCTCTAATACAGAAGATAGAAGCATTGTTAAAAATGAGAATTTACTCTAAATGTTACTGTTGCAATACTTCTGCTAAAATACTTATGCTAAATGGATTCATTTGGCTTTGATGAGAGTGTTAGCCTCAAGTTCCTGCAAATAGATAATGCTTTGCCATTTAGTTTGCTATATCTTGTGTAGACATGGAAACTCATTAAAAGTTCTTTTCTGTTTATTTTTTTTTAGTTAAACTTTCATTAAAGTATGTTCCTTCTGCTAAAAGGCTTTTTGATATTTACTTTTTCAGACTTCATAAATGGTTGCTAGATTTCTATTTTTTAAGACCAGAAAAATCAAGCCTTCTCGTGTGAATCAGCTGTAAACTTTTCTAACAATGACATTGACCTGGCGGTTAATTTGACAGGGTTTTAATGAGACAGAAGTTTACAGTTGTCAGTTACTCGGCATACTTGCCTTGATTGTCTGCTTGATGTATATATGCTTGCTTTGTGGCAGTTCAATTTGACACTAACAACTGACCTTTTCAATTTTGAATTGACTTAACATTTCTGTTACTAGAAGACTGAATACATAAAAGGCCTCAGTAGGGTGATTTTTGTATTTTTAGTGGAAGCTCTGTCTATCTATTTTTTGCATTTGTTGAATGCAAAAGATGTTTTATCTTTCATAAAATCCAAAATTATGAAGGCATACTTAGTTGATTTTGGTTCAAGACAAGATTAGTAGTCCTATTCTGAAAATATAACTACAGCCAGGAGTAATATCAAGTTTGTGGTTTTGTTAAAGTAAATGTAGTTTAACATCTTAAGCCTAAAATGCCAATAGGGCAATCTGGTACCTTGTGTATTTATGATGACGACTTAAAAGTCTAATATTTTGCTTGTTCAAGTCATGGAGGCAGGAAATACAGCCCTTCTGACACAACCCATTTTGATATGTAAGAAAGTTAAGAAAATAACAACAACAACTTGTTTGTTGCCTACTTCTCATTCTTCTAGGAGAATCAAATGAGTGCTTATACTCTGTAATCATCAACTTTCACCACTGCTTCTCAAGCAGGTGGTTTAACTAACAGGAGAGTGCTATTCTTCCATGCAGATCTACTTGCAGATGACAGCTCCTTCTAGTTTTCCAGTTAGGACTGAGAAGAGGAACAGTGGTGAAGCAAAGGTGCAGTTTTTCCTTTCCTGGATAAGTTCCTGAAAAATGAATACTCCTCATCCCTGTGGAAACATGCAGGTTCATGCATATCCTAGGAGAAGCCTTTTTGTGAGAAAGTAAAAGATCCTAGGTATTCATCAATAGCCTTATCCTCCCAGGGTTTTCAATTGTCAGGGAATACCATTTTATCTTTATCATTTAATACTATAAGGATGTGAGATGGCTGTAACATTTTGGTTTGCTGAATAACTTGGTGATTCTTGGTTGCTCTGTGCTAATGAGGTCCTTCCCATAACTGCTTCTGTAATAGGGTCAATCAGAACAAAGCTTACCTTGCCTAAATGTCAAGACTGCGGAAACTAATTTCAAATTATTGTGGTCTTGTGTGATTTAAGTAGTTTATGCTAACCCCTAGGTATTGAATTAGTTTCACTTGGAATATGATTTAAATGTTTGTGATCTACTATCAGGTTCCTGCTATTGCCTTTATCATTAGTCCTTTAAAAAGTTTTTAAACTTAGAAAAAAGAATTTGTGATCTAATTTACTCAAATCTAGATGTGTAAGCATTGTGTCTTGCTTAGACTTGTTTTTTTTTCCTCTTGTGTAACTTTTTCCCATTCTGCTTTTTGTAGGCTTATGTTTGGGACTTTCACTATTACTTTGTATTCCTACACAAATAAATAGTTAGCTAATATTATCCAATGGATCTTTGTCTTGTTTATTCCAGGAAGGCTAAAGTATATTCTTGTTCTGAGCTGCAATTTAATTCCCACTTGATCGAATTTGACTAGAAATACTTGAATAGCAGTACATCTTACTGATTAATTTATTGCTTTTCATCATTGTATCATGGCTCTGTTTGAGTAACATATGTGCACATGTATTGTGTTGATTTGGCAAATTTAAACAAAATAATATTTTTTTAGTACAATTACATCTGTAGATATCCTTTCATTGAAATTGCCCTACTATCTCAAAGATAAAGCTATAGTTTGCTCTTGATCAGGATTTTCATAGTAGTACTTTTTCAGTCTCTGATTGACTCCTCACTGATAGTTTAAATCATCTGTGATAAATGCTGTTTGCTTGCTTAACAGTCCGTTCACATAGTGTTTTGCAGGGAAACATACTGTGTTTTAAACTGCTGTCATAACAATGACAAAGATTCCAAATTGTATATAATCAGACAGCATGGAGTTGAAATGTAAATGTAACCTTGTAGTACCGTACTTCGGTACTGACTCTGTGGTAGTGAAGTCTACAATGATTGAAATGCCTCCCTGATGTTAACAGGAGAGCAGGTGTTGGTGGCAGCTGTCAGTGCACTGAATTACTGGTTTTGAATGGCACAACTAATTGAATCCAGAAAATGCAATTGAATGAAAGATTTTGTACTCCAGAGAGATGAATTGGAGATGATATAACTTGTTTCAACTAAATAAGATCAAAATTAGAGGAAGTAAAAATTTTCATCTTGACTGTTGAAGGGGAGGACAAATACTCATAAAGTGGACCCATACCAAAACAAATACAAAAAGCTTTAAAAATAAAGCCCATACTCAGATAATAAGACAATATATTCTTTAAGGGTTGATTGCAGTAAATCTAACTGGTTTGATTGCTTGCATTTTAAACCACTTGTGACGTCCAAATTCTTCTGTTGTGACATTGTAACTTGTGCAGTTTGTGGGCCTAAAAAATACACCTGGTATTCAAAGCCAAGGACTTAATTTTTAGTCTAAGTGATGTGTTAGTGGTCTAATAAAATTGCTCTCAGTAGTGCTAACACTTCTCCACCCCATCCCATGCCTATACATTTCTATGCTGCATTTCATTTGTGGTCATATTCTATCCACTAATTACAGAAATGTATGTAATGGTAAACTTTATTCCAGAGACTTGTACAAAGCTGAGAAAAATGTACACCTAGTGGGGTGATAGTGATTCTGTTACTCGACAAATGCTGTTGCAACTAAATAAGCCAAAACTGAGCTCCAGACAGGCAAGCCAAGTCTTGGTGAAGCCTGAGAGGTCTGGAAGCATGCAGTGTTAGTTTCATACAAAGCCTGTAGCCTGTTACTGGCAAAAATAAGTGGGCTACAAGGCCATGTGTCCTGAACAAGACTGTAGAGGAGTACAGACAAATATTCAATATGAGGAGCTTTTTTTTTGTTCAAAGTTCTTGGTTATGCAGCAGAACCTTTCATCTCTGTTGGTTGCTGTCGAGACAACTTCTGGAAGATTTTTTTCAGTCTACTTTTGAAAAGTGGACTGGGCACCTTAGCTGGTTTCAAAATTTTGGATATTGTAGTGTCAGCATTTGGATGTAAGAGAATTATATTTTTGTATTTATCTTTTGGTTGTTGTAGTTTCCTTTGCTGGGGTTATCACCCTTCTTTGTTACCTAGTGTGGAGTGATGCTTTGGCAGTAACAAACATTAGAGTAACTCTCTGGAAAAAGTACTTGTGCAGAAACAGGCTTGAAGAGTAATACAGAGGTTTTGTTTGAATTTGAAGAAAATAATTGATAAGTTAGCAAACTCCTATTTTCCCCTATGTTTCTAAAATACTGTAGACATAGATACAGAAGCAAATTGTATAAAATGAGGGCAATAACACATTTCGGGGAGGAGAAGTATCATAAGAACTGTTCTGACAGGCACTACAAAGATGAAAAATCCACTGTGAGAGTTAAAGGCTCGAATTGTTATCTATTTAGCAGCTTTATAAGAAGAGAAGAATAACCAAGGGTCTTTTCTTATTTATAACTTCAAAGAAGCCCCAAATCAGGAAGATCTTTCTCCAGGAAACATGCTTTCTATAAGGCAAAACAGTCTGTGTTGTGGTATTGTTAGCTATATTCCTATTTACCTGAGCTCTTTTAAAGATGAGTGCTACTAATGGGATGCCAGTACCTTTTTGAAAGAAAACACACTGTAAGTATATTCCTCTTGGATATGTGAGGTTATTTACTTTTTCTCATCAGGTGATGATCTAATTGCCCTCACTGTAAAGAATATGGAGAAGGGACAGGAACAGGCGTTCATTGCCTTGCCAAGTCTGTTAAACACTTTGCTAACAAAAACATACGAAGGCAGACTTACAGTGAGGCAGGGGGAAAAGCATTAGGAAACATTACTTGACCGGAATTTAATATGGCATAATTTTTGAGCCATAGAAACTTTTCAAAAAGCAGACTTTTAAACATCAAATTCAATATTACTTATTGCTAGTAGAATTTTTGATTTTGTCTACTTAGCATGCTGTTTTCTACATTTTTCTGAATTGTTTTGGTATTTGTCAAACTTGTTTAAATTTTTAAAGTCCAGACTTAGATTGGAACATTCTTGCCTGTTCCTTGGGCCTTTCAAACAGCTCTCATTTATTCATGAAATAGGACTTTGCTTTGCAAAGCCATTTATTTATACTGTCTCTTTATTGATATTGCATTTTTTGTATTATTCATTAATTTTGTTCTCAGCTATAAAAAATATATTTCTACTGTAGAAGTCAAACTTGCCAATCTGTAGTTGTCCAGATCTTCCTGAAAGTGGCCTTTTAAATGTCAATACAATTTCGCCATCTTTATTTTCTTCAGTGTCAAGATACATTTCAGTATAAACTTGGATTATTTTGTCTTCAATTTTTTTTAAAGCTTTGAATGTTTGAAGAGTGAATACTCTTTTGTTACTTCGCATGTTGGCTTAGTTCTCTGAGTTCTTCTGCCACTTTGGAACTGTTTTGTCTCTGTTCTATTTTGTGATCTCCTCTCACATGCCAGAATGACAAAGTGTTGCTATTTGTGTTGCTTTGTTTTCTTTGGTCACTTCATGACACCATGGTCTTTTACTGACTCTACAGATTCTGTTGTCTTCCTTCTTTTGCTGTCTTTGAGGAATTAGATGTGTTAGTCATAGAGGCTTTTTGCAAATTGTCCTTCAAAGTTCTCTGTCTCTTTTATTACGTTTTCAAATTTGATTGGTTAGTTTTGATTCCTCCTCCCCTCCACTGGTGTTGAATTATTTTGTTTAGGTGTTGTAGCTTGATTATTGTCTAACACTGGGGTAATTTACAGAAGTCTATCTTAACACTCATGCAGTTGATTTAAATAATCCTTTTGAGTCCTGTGTGCAGTTTTGGGTCCCACAATATAAGAAGGACATAAGACTGTTAGAATGTGTGCAAAGGAGGGCAATGAGGATGGTGAAGGTCCTTGAGGGGAAGCTGTATGAGGAGCAATTGAGGTCACTTGGTTTGTTTAGCCAAGAGAAGAGGAAACTGAGGGGAGACCTCCTTGCAATCTGCTGCTTCCTCGTGAGGGGAAGAGGAGGGGCAGACCCTAATCTCTTCTTTGTGGTGACCTGTGACAGGACCCAAGGGTCCTTTCAGCCTGAAGCTGTGTCAGGGGATATTTAAGTTAGATGCTGGGATTGGGTGCCAATTTTTCACCCAGAGGGTGATTGGGCACTGGAGCAGCTCCCCATGGCAGTGGTCACAGCACTAAGCCTGTCGGAGTTCAAGAAGGATTTGGACAATGCTGTGAGGCACAAGGTGTGGTTCTCAGGACTTCCCTGTGCAGGACTGGGAGTTGGACTTGATGATCCTTTTGAATCCCTTCCCACTCAGGACATTCTATGATTTTATACCTTTAATTTAGTGTGATTTTCCTTATTTATGTCAATAAAATAAAACCAATACTTTTCTATTATTATGCAAATATAGATATTTGCATGTACTGAATTCCATAAAAGTTCTGAGGGAACAGAAATTAATTTCAGCTCTTTCTTCAAGTAAGAAGAAGGAGCAAAGCTTGTTTCATCTATAACTATTTTGAAATTATTGTTGAGGCAAGGTATGTAGTATGACAGGGTAATCTAAGAATAATTGCTGTTGTGACAGCTTTTATCCAGGAGAGGTATTGGATGGGTTAGTACAGTGGTTCCAACCATGGCATTCTCCCTTGAGCATTCTTGTCCTTTCAGACATCTCCAGAAGTTGAAAAGATGGTCCCAACTCCTAATCCAGAGTTATGGGGCCCTCGAGATTCTCTTTTCATGTGACTCCAAATACCCTCATTTATGGGTTTGGGTGAAGAATACCTCATGCTTAATTGGGTCATTCTAACCCTTGGTCCCTATAAACCTGTTGTAGCTCACAGTCTGCTTGATTTTATCAGCAGGTTCATTGCTCTCACATTAACAGATTGTTTACATTTGTTACATCTCTGTTCTCATAACTAAGCTGTTCTCTTCTAGAGTGTTAGCCAGTAAGTTCATCTACATAGACTAACACTGCAGTCAAACAGGCCTAAATTATGCTAATTGCCATTCACCTCCACAACAGTTCAGCTGAAATGATATATAAAGCTACTCTCATGCTTACATACTTTGCAGTAGGGTAAAAGTGAGATAATGGTTGTGGTCTGTGCAATTATGTAATCTTAGCATGTTCCTTTTGGAAACCTAATGGGTGTTATTGTTTTTCACAGTCTGTATCAAAGTAGCTTGTACATCTTTGTACATAGTTGTTCTTGTGGCCATATGTAAGTAAATTCAGTACTTGGAATTATGCATACTTTGGAGATGACTGGGAAAGCATCTTTCTGGTATCACCTTTTGCCTATGGCATAATGCTTCATCATTTTTTAAACTATAAAAGGCTTTACAGCAAAGTATTTGAACCAGATTGCTTTAATTGTTGACATAGTATGTAAGGTCCAAATAGAATTCTAATGGTCTGGTGCTTTTAAAAAGCCCTTAAAATGCTGGAATTACTTGAATAACATATTTTTTGCAAATTGAAGCAAAATGTGCAAACAATAAAGAGGGTAAAAAAGGGAAATAATGTCTCTTTTAATCTGTATTAGAGATAAACAGTAAGTTGCCATCGTTCTAAAGGCTCGTGAATCCAGACAGTGAATTCCTGCTGCTCCTGGCTGTGGGTTTTCAAGATGAGTCTCTTAATTTTTCAGAAGAGGGTCTGCTCAGTAGTTGGCCTGATTCTTTCTTTTGAGCTGAAGGAGTGATTCCCATGAAGTATTCTATAATACTCAGTATGTTTAAAGAATGACTATTTCAAAAAACAAGCGGGAAAAAACCCCATTCTGTTTTTCAGGCTCAGTTTAATTTACTCAGCATTTTAAAGAAAAGATATGTTTTACTGTACACAGACAGCATTCTGTTTCTAACTTCTTATATATATGTATAGATAAATGTACATTTGCAATGATTTTTATATGTCCATTATTATGCTTTGTCTGCTAAAGTTCATTGGCTAAAGGAACTTGATATTTGTATAAAATGACAAAATTCAATGGAGTGGAAAAATATTTAATTGTAATGGAAATTTGTGAACTAGAACTTGATATTTATAGCTCATGTGGCTGATGAGGAATTTAAGTAGTTTATAAGATTACAGTAGTTTAATAATTAGAAATTATGTAATGTCTAATTATTAGTTTGTTGTATCTTCTTGATTGTGATGCATATTGAAATCTTAGAAATAAGATTATTATTTACTCTATTGCAGGTAGCTTGCATGCAGCTCATCAATGCTCTTGTTACATCTCCTGATGACTTGGATTTTAGACTTCACATCAGAAATGAATTTATGCGCAGTGGATTGAAAGAGTTATTGCCAGTAAGCGTCTTGTCTTCTCTCTTTGCATTACTGTTTAAATTTTTTAATTATTTGAGACTGAGAGCGGGAATGGGAGAACAAGTTCTAATAAATTATCTTCAAAGGCATTTTATTAAGTTTGGGAAAGAGCAGTAAGGGACAAGAATCAGCCTTAAAATAAAAATTAAGAGGTGAAATGTGCTTTCTGAGTTTTATTCTGATTTTATTCTGATTCCTCAGCATTTTATGACTTTGCTTAAGAACACGTGATACTCTGTTTTTCAAAAATTTTAAGCCAGCCTGAAGTTACATTTACCTTTTGAATATTTAACTTAACTCATGTGTTGTTGTAATTTTAAGCTTTTAACTAATATAAACATATGGAATTTATGATACATACAAAAAAGATACATTTATTTACATATGGAAATACTAATTTTGCAAGTCTTTGTGCTGTTTCTCATTGCAGCAACTACAATATATAAAGAATGAAGCACTAGATATTCAGCTGAAAGTGTTCAATGAGCATAAAGAAGAAGACATGATTGAATTCTCTCATCGTTTAGAAGATATTAGATCTGAACTAGAATATCCTTTTGAGGGTGATATGATCTTTGCTTGTGTCAGAAACAGTGTGGCCAGCAGGAGCAGGACACTGACCATTCCCCAGTATTAGGCACTGGTGAGGCTGCACCTTGAATTTGCTGCTCAATTTTGGGCCCCTCACCCACAAGAAGGACATGGAGGGGCTGGAGCGTGTCCGGAGAGGGCTCTGGAGCACAAGTCCTGTGAGGAGCAGCTGAGAGAGCTGGGGTTATTCTGGAGAAGGATGCTCAGGGGGGCCTTGTAGCTCTCAATGAAAGGAGGTTATAGTGAGGTGGGGTCAGCCAATTCTCCCGATTAACAAGTGACTGAATGGGAGGAAAGGGCCTCAAGGTGTGCTGTATGAGGTTGAGATTGGATAATAGGAAAAATTTCTCAGAGAAAGGGTTGTCAAGCACTGGAATAGGCTGCTCAGGGAAATGATGGAGTCCCCATCCCTGAAGATACTTAAAAAGATTTCTAGATGAGACATGTAGTGGCATGGCTGAATGATGGACTTGGCAGTGCTTGGCTAATAGTTGGACTTTATCATCTTCTAAGAGGTCTATTCCAACATAAATGATTTAATTATATCAACAGGACAAACATGAACAAAATAAAGCATTTAATGGGTATTTTTTTGCTATAATTTCTGTTTAAAGAAGTTATCAGTAAACATTTGACTGAAATTTTTTGATTCTTTGTTATTATTCTCCTTAACACTTTCACTGAAGTAAATGATGTTTACAACATGGTGTGGAATACAGTTAAGGACACTAGTGCTGAAGGATATTTTCTTTCTATTCTCCAACATCTTTTGCTGATAAGAAATGATTATTTTATCCGGTATGTTTAATGCTGTTTTAAATGTTAATTATGGAATTTTTTTTATTATGCAGTCATTAATAGAATATTTCTTCCATAAATCCAATGATAGGTTTTAGTCTTTCTGTGCGAATTGTAATTTGTGAGCTCATGTTCAAAAGAATCCACTTGGAATCAATAATGCCATCTATATGTTTTTATCTCTTCTGCTTAGTACATAATTTTATTTTATGAACATAGAAAACTATTTTTGTTAAGAGCTGGGCCTTTTTGATTGCAAATATAAGTGATCAGGAGAGATGTCTTAATCAGTCATAAATCATGGCATTATAATTTTGTGGTGTCTTTGAGTCAAAGGACAAAACCGAGTATGCAAAGAAATGCACTATGTACAGAAATCTGAATATATGCCTAATTAAGATTAACTTTTGGGTTGGAATTGAGTATTTTCAGTATATATTATAGGTCAGTGTAGACATGTTTGTGTCTCCTGGAAAATTCATCAGGTAAATTAAGGGGAAACAGTTAATAAAACTTTAGTGTTTCAAACTGACAAATACTTTCCTTCCAAAACTCTTGTGTTGTCTTTGAGGAAACACTGGAGGAATGAGGTGTGAACTGAGCAAGGGCCATCTGTTTTCTGCACAACATTCTGCATAACCTTGCATTTCAGGCAAGGTCTAGCACAGATGTATATTTAAAGGTTAAGGGTGCTTACCTGCTATGGTACATCTGTGCTAGACCTCTTCCACCTGAAAAGGTTTAAATTCACAGCTTGCATGTTCTGGGCAAGTGACCCAGCTGTCATACCCCCTGGCATTTTAGAACAAGGTGTTTTTCATTCCTTGTACTGAAGCAGGGCTGCAATGCACTTGTACTTACAAAAGTCACAAAACTAGTGGAATCAAGCTGAAGGAAGAGCGTTTTCTTTACTGAGAGGAAGCAGGAGATCTTTCCTTCCTATATTTCTGCAGGGAGGCAGATGTAGATTTTATAATACAAGAATTATTTATCTTTAGGGCCACTGTTTTTTCAGACTTTTTGTAAACTCTTTTTGTGTAATAAACTGCCATATGTAACTTTCCTTTGAAACTTTTACCTTTCTGTGGAAAAAAATCAGCCCGAAGCTTTTGACTTTGTTCACAGACAAGATTTTAAATGTAGATTGATTAATAAATATCTGTAAAATAGCTCATTTTTCTCTTTAGTCCACAGTATTTCAAACTAATTGAAGAGTGTGTATCACAGATAGTGTTACATCGAAGTGGAACAGACCCAGATTTCACGTATCGTAAGAGATTAGATATCAATTTCAGCCACTTACTAGGTAAGTACCATGCTTGGAAATGATTACAGCATCATACTTCCTTATATGAAACTGAATAGCTGACTAAGAATCTTGTGTTCCCTACATATGTGTAAGTGTGCTTGTTGGTTTTTTTCCAGATGTTTGTGTAGATAGAGCAAGATTAGAAGAATGTGAAGAGAGGGCTTCTGAACTTTCCAGAAAAGTAAGTCATTCTTCATCACATCATCATGTGATCAAAGAATGGACATGGGATTACTTAATAGAATAATGAATGGCATAACTGAACCATGGAATAGTCTTAATTTTTACTTACTATTAGTTCTGTATTAAAGTGGGAATTTAGGTATTCTTGTAGATTAGGAAGCAGAGAGGTATGAAGTAGTTAACCTTAACTGAGAATCTTTCTACTATTTAAGTTTTCATCTACAACTCTTCCAAAAAGCAACTTTATTTCAGCAGTTATCAGTTTCCCTAACAAAATAAACAGTGGGAGAATAAAAAGAGACTCCTTCATATCTACAGACTGTATTAGTGTACATCCATGGCTTTAAAGGTCCTCTGTGTAATACTAACTTAATATACGTTAAGTATATTACATTAATATACGTTAACATACGTTAAGTATATACGTTATATACTTAATATACGTTAAGTATACGTTATGCCATTTTGTATAGTGAAGACCTGTTGTGGCGATTCAGATGATTCTTCCGCTCATTAGACACATGGAAGTTGGAATAGCAGACATGTGTCCTTGGTATTGTTATCATGTATGTTTTAAAAAGCACAAAAGGAAACGGTGGAATTTAAAGAAACTATGCAGAACTGACTGGTACCAACAATTTTCTTTTTACTTCTCTTCTCTTAGTTTGAAAAAGATTTTGTAGTTCATCAGGAGACCCAGGCCCTGCTTCAAAAAAAAGAGGAAAGAATCAATGAACTTGAAAAAGAATTACAAGCTTTTAAATCACAGGTAAAAGACAGTATAAGTGAATGTATGAAATACTCTTTTTGAAAGGGACTCCTTTTGCATCTTCTTCAGAGTCTGATAGTATGGTTGAGAGGTTTTTCAAAGAATCTTTTTTATCGATTATTATTGAATGTTAGTTTCCTTTATTTCTGTTTTATATAAATAATTGTAATGTGACAATAATTAACTGTGAGTTCCCAGATGATCCTTTTTATGCCTGAGCTCAGTTAATTAAACTAGTTTCTTAGGTTTCATTTGGGTTTTGCTTTCAGAGTCATACATTTCCAAAGTAATTAAGCACATAGGGTAATAAGTCTTATGCTTTTAGATTAGCATTCATCATTGTGATCTTTATCCCTGCACAGGAAATTGCTTATTATGCAGTTTGCTATGCTGAGGCCTTACCATGGATATCCAGCAGTGAAAGAAATAACCTGTGGCTGGATAAGAACATTTCCTGATAATTTTTCAATTTTCAAGCATAAATATGTGATGGAGAGGAATAGTGCAGATTTTTTGAGAGTAATACTTGAGTTACTTGTAAGTGCTTCAACTCTTAAATCTATGTAAGGAGACTGTGTGACCAAATGATATTTCCTGTGTCTGGGAATAGGAAGAACAGTCTAAAAATGCCTGAAGAAAAAAACATCAGAAAGACATGCTTTCTAGGGGTTTATTTTAATACTTCTGAGGATTTTTTAAAAATATTTATTGGCTTCTTTAATTTTCTTAGTGAGGAAAATTAATTTAGCTCTCCTTTGGTCTATTTAGAAATATCATTCTCATTCATGTTTCTGGTCAAAATTAATTGTTAATGTCAAAGTCAAACATTTAACAAAAGCAAAAAATTGTTGCACTCTATAGTAAGAGTGGCACACAATTCATTAAGAAAGTACTTTTCTGTGTGTATCTTGAAGTCATACTTAAATACTTTTTGTAAGTGAAATTGGTTTCCTCCCTTTTTTACTTTTTCTGTTATTCACTGTATGAAATATAAATATTTTTATACGCAGACAGAGCATAACATATGATTCTGCTCACTAATTATCATACCATGAATTATCCCACTGTTGTTAATGGGATACATGAAAAGTTTTGTAAATGTCAGGTAATTGATTACTGCAACTTAGTACTTTTAATCTTTGCCTTCTGTATGGCATCAATTGCTACTTAGCATGTCGAGTTCTGCCTCTAATACTATTTTTTTCTCTGGTCTCATTCCTTTACTCTCTTGCAACTGGTATATATTGATGTATTTCTTTCACTTCTGGAGCCCAACTGTTCAGTGTAAACAATGCTTATGCTCAGAAATTCAAAACATTATCATGCTGTTGTGCTAGCATTTATTTGTATTCATTGATATTCAGCTATTTCCTTTTAGAAATTTAAAATCTTTTGCATATTGTATTTCCTTTAATTTTCTAAAATAATCATTTTCAGCTCATAGTTAGTTGAGGAGGTAATTAGTGCTATCACAGTAGATAAATATTTCTTATTTATTCTTTTATTTTTCTCAGATACTTTCGCATTTATGTTTGCAGGCCTATGATAGAGTTTTTCAAATAGTAGTAGTAATTTTATTAGACTTACTGAAGTTCTAATCCTATTTTGATACATTATAGATGTCATTTCTATATGGAATAAGAAGCTAGTGTGTAAGGAACACTAATTTTTGGATGGATATTTTTTCATTATTGCTTCATGTTTTCAATTCTGTAGAATGAGAATGCTCCTACACTGGAAGATACCTGTTTTTCAATAGAATTATTTATCTCTTCAGATTTTGCTGTTATGTACTTGGAATGTTTCTCTGTCATCTGTAGGATGAAAACAACAGAGACTAGGATGTTACTTTTTTTTTTATTTGAGCTAAACCATGGTAATCTAGGTAAGGTCTCAGGATATCTATCATACCCTTTTTAGCTCATGGTCAGTGAAATGTAAAAAGTGGGAAACACCATTTCAGTTTGTCATTTTTGGTGTGCACCCCACAGGTCTGAATGTCCGCTTCAAAATATTGACACATCCAAACATGAAATCAAAAGCACATTGGGCTTTTGATTTCATGATTTTGATTAAGAAAGTTATCATTCTTGTTTGACTGTTTTATACAAGGCAAATGGCATTGACTTTCAACTGGCTTTCTGTATTTAATCTATAAACTATGATTGTTGGAGCATTTTGTTGACAAAACAGTGAAGCTGAATAAGACTATTTTCCTTATCAGTATGGCTCTCTGCCGCCTGGTTTTCTGCCATCAACTCATGGAGATGCATCTGTTGTTCCACGGAAAGGTGCAGGACCACATCAATTTCCACCCCCTCCTCCTCCACCACCGCTGCCTTCTAATGGAGCAATTCCACCACCACCGCCTCCCCCACCTCCTCCACCACTTCTGAATAGCTTGGGAGCTCCTCTGGGTTTTGCTGGTGCTCCCCCACCACCACCTCTGCCAGGCCTGCCTGGAATACAGTGGTCCCCGCCTTCGTGTGCTTTGCCATTTGGAATGAAGCCTAAAAAAGAATTCAAACCTGAGGTTACCATGAAAAGACTCAACTGGTCTAAGGTAGTGTTGATTAATGACAAATACTTGATGTGAAATCTGTCATTGAACTTGGGGAAAATAGATTGTCAGAAGTAAGACTAGACAAGCAATTTATACATTAGTTAAAATTATGTAAGATATGAATACTTTCTGTCTTTAGCTTTTCATTGTTTTTTGAAAACTGTGTTTCATTAACCCATGAATCATCTGGGCAAGTATCTGTTGACTTTATGAGATGCCTGGAAAAGTCAGTTCTGGTCTAAAATAAAACAACCTTGATAGCAGGATGCTTCCTATGCTTCCTATTACACCTTGTTTTTCAGCAGACTCCTCATATCAGATCAGTCACTGAACTATACTGATAGCTATATAGTTTCCAAACAAGTCTTGAATCTATCTAGCCTGGGCTGGAAATAGGGAGTGCTACTCTCCATTTGTCTGTAGTACTTCAATGTACTTCCATAAATTTAATGACTGACAAAATACAGACTGAATTTGGAGTTTGGTTGGTTTTGGTTTTGTTTTTTTTCTCCTTCTCCATTGTGATAAGATTAAGTATAGCAGTCTGCTACTGAGTTTGGAAACTATAATTATCTAGACCAAAAATAAGTCAGTAAAGAGATTTTCACAATTAATGAAGTAATCAAAGCTAAATTCTGAAAAGTAAGGTACTTCGTATCTAGCTAAACCAATTGTCTTCAGAGATTATTTGAAGTTTGCCCAAATTTTACCTCTAGACCAAAGCTAATTTGCTCCTTGTAGATCTTGGATAACAGAGTGTGTGGTCTGCATGTTAGAATCAGTTTTTTTTCCAAACTCACTTATTTTAAATATTATTATTTTTAATGAGAAATATATTAACAGCTCTGAAGATGAATTGTGTACTAAAAATTAACATGTTTTACAGAGCTCTTAAAAGTTCAATGTGCTTTAGACTTTACAGAGCACAGTTTCTGCATAGTATTAAAATAATGAATAAAATTTTATTTTGTCTCTTGCTTGTAGATCAGACCTCAGGAGATGACAGAATCCTGTTTTTGGGTTAAGGCAGAAGAACACAAGTATGAGAATGCTGACATGCTTTGCAAATTGGAACTTACATTTTGTTGTCAAAAAAGGGGTAAGTAGCTGATGGATTTAATTTTCAGCTTTTGGAGATACCTTTAACATTCTTAGGACTTAAATAAATATATGAAAAACCCTTCAGAGTATGATATTAATGTTCTTATTTCTAAGTGGGATGTATGAAGAAAAATGTCAGAAAATCCTAGAACGCTTAAAGCAGTAATATTGAACTATTTTACGTAAGCATGACAATAATTGTGTGACCTGTAGGAAACCCTCACAGAAAAAAACCCCAAGAAGTTCTTCTGGGTAATACAGATTTTATTTATCACATTAAAAAAATGATAATATTTTATCAGAATACCTTCATTAATTACTGAAATCTAATCCGGAGCCCAGGAGGTGATGTGTTTACCCTCAGAATTGATATGATAATTGATGTGTGTTGGATCCGTGACAGACGATAGTCTTTCAGTGATTTTTTTTTTTTTAACTTCCTGATAAACCTGTAGGAACATAGATCTCCTTTGATATTTGCCTAGCTTCTTTAGCTTTTAAGGCATTGTGAAGCAACAGAAGATTTGAAAGTATTCCTGACTTTAAAACTTTTCTCCTTTCTGTGGCAGTAAGTTGTTTTAGTAGTAGTTTAGGTTATTCTGTCTCATATATAAAATGCCCGTTACTTCCTGACACATTTTTTTCTACCTCTTTTTTTGGAATCAGAGATGTAGTATTTTAGAGCAGTCAAAGGCTTGTGATTTCTTTGCAAATTAAACAGGGGCTATTGTATTTTTATTTTGTTTTAAAAATTCTATTTTGATATTTTTATTAATTAAATGACATGGCATTCTCAAATTTTTCCTTTTTTAGGGGTATGCTTTAGTGTGTATAATCTAATATTTTTTTTACCATAACCAAGAACTTTATTCCACTCTTGTCAAAGAATGATTTTTATGCCTTAGCAGTGTTTCTGATTTAAGTATTATAGCTTGTTGCTGCTGATACCTAATAATATTAAGAATGTTGCACAAAGATAAAAAGGCAAGAAAACCTCACCATAGACATATTTGCTTGAATCTATTAAAATAAGTCTAGAAGCTAATTATGGTACCTTTAGAATGTTAGGAGAATTCCCAAGAATATTCCTTGAATTAATAGGTTGGAAGTTTTAAAAGCCACTGGAGGAAATAATTTCCTATGTGTAATTAAACAGTAAAATTTGAGAGACAAGATGATGTTCAGGCCAAACATTTTAATGCCTCAGAAGAGGATCGTGAGTCTCCACAGACAGCAAGAACATTAGAGTTAACAAGATTAACATCCCTGAATATTTAACAGAATGGACTGAATACATTGTTTTGACAAAACCCAATAGAAGAGAGTTACTGGATCTACAGTTGGAAAGTCAGTGAAGTACACTTTTATACCAAATGTGTGTGTGTGCGGCAATTTAAAGGCTGTAGTCCCCAGTGGCAAATTTATTTCTTTTTTACAAGTGAGGCTTACTGCCTAATAATTTTAGTTTTAAGTTTTGAAATCTCTCTCATCCCACATGGGTGATATAAGTGTGCCATCGTCTTAATTTTTCAAATGAAGTGAAGACACTAAAGATTTTATTTAGAGCAGCAAGTAGGTATTTAAAGGGCAACATGGAACTAAATTTAATCTTTGTTCAAGTGAGTGGTTTACAGCACTTTAAGTGAAAGCTTAAGTGTGTTAGTAGGCAGGACCAGATCTCAAGGTCCCTTGTTGACTGCATGAATTCCAGGACAGAGGACAGAAAAGCAACTGCTTTTGTTCTCATGACCACGGAGAGAGGGCATACTTCTTTGTAGCTTATACTTAATTTACTGATTACAACAAAACTTACCAAAGAAATTAGAGACATACAGTCTTCTTCACAATCTTGAGGAGATTTAACAACAGGATCTTTAAAGTAGAATCAGCAAGCTATTCACTACTCTCAAATTGGGAACAGTCCTTAACTATTTCTAAAGCTTTGTGTCTATAACCAGAAAGAAGAGAAATTGAAAATGATTCTGTAGCCAAATGATGGCATGCAGAGAATGAGCTGGTTTCCATTCTGCTGAAGGGTCTGCTTATGCACTCTTTTCATTAAAATCTTTGCATAAGAAGAAGTATCTGGTAGAGGAAGTGGGGATCAGAATGTTCAATGATGCTTCAAGTGAACTTTATTATCATTAAGTAAAATCAAATTGAGGTACTCAAATATTCAGTTGGTGCATTTTGCCAGCTAATATGCCAAAAGTATATCAGCATTGATCTAGAAAAGGAAGTCTTATGTCTATGTAAATAATCCACTGAAGAATTTTCACTAGAAAAAAGAATACAGAACAGTATAGAATAGATTTGAAGATTCAGCAGATGTTTGTACAGGAGTTATAAAATATGTTGATTCTGAAGGGGCATTGAAGCAATTGAAAAACTGAAGATGTTATGGAGCTATGAAAGAAATACTGTTGCAAGAATAAAGAAGTAAGGAGGGCCTAGCTTCAGACTCTAGGGAACTTTTGTTGAGTATATCCAGGGATATTTTGGAGACATGAACCACAGAAGAAACCCCTGAAGGTCATCTGAAAGTCTAACAACTTTTCGTAAAGGAACCAGTCTAGTTTATCTTGTTCAGGACTTTCTCCAACTGAGTTTGAGGTATTTCTCCAGATGGAGATGTAGGGATGGATAGCCTGTTCCCATGTTTGTCATTGTGGTGAATTTTTTTTCATACTCTCTTTTGGGATGTCTTTTGTTGTAACTTGTGCCTATTTCCTCTTGCTGTTGTGCACCTCCAAGAATTCTGGTTCCCTCTTATTTCCAGCCTTCTGTCAGGTTATTTTTTTTTGTCATCAGTAAGTTTTCCCTTGTTCTTTATTATCCTTCTCAAGACCGATGACTTTTTCAACTTTTCTATCTGCATCTTTTTGTTTCAGCCCTAAAATCATATTGATAATTTTCTGCTCTACTCATTCCAAAGTACCTATACTTTTTTTCAAGTGGAGAAACCCATACAAAATACTCTAGATACTTCTCTCTGAGAGTGGGGAAGTGTCTCCCTGAGAAGGGGAGTAGAGGGAAATAACCACTTCTTTGACTTGTTGGTGACAGCAGTCTTGGTACTTTACTGGAGGAAATGTTTTCACTGTGCTGCTTGCTGATGGTGGTTGTGGAAAGTCCATACAGACTATGGATGATATAGGGTATTTTCTTTTGTGTTTTATACAGATGGTTTTGTCACTTTTTGAAAGTTAAATAATTTTGTGAAAGCAACATGTTTTATAACAATAAAACCTTGAGAAGGTTTTATTGTTATTGAAGGAATATTGTTATATTGTTTGATACACTGAGAAGTATCAAAGCACCAGTTGTTGATGGTATTCTCGTAGCAACTTACTGAAGGTGAAATGCAATTTTTTTTCATTGATTTAGAATTTAGTCAAGGGCATAATGGCAAACCAACTCCTTTGTCATAAAAGCCTGAGTGAGAGGGCTCCATGTGTGTCAGTGCTTGAGTGTGTACTTGAGGTCATTGTTCCTGTGCTTGTTGTGGTGATATCCCTGACTGATACAGTGAATCTATTACCTGTGAAATGTCACTGGATTATCATTGTGGTTACCCTTGTTGTGGGTTTGTTTTGGTCATTGGTTTTGGTTGTGAGTAGGTTACCTGAGTAGAGTTGGTTTTGTGTACCTCTGATAGTTCCATGACTATTCTCTGGCTGGGAGGAAAGAAAAATAATTGACAAGTTCTGAAAATAAAGTGATGAATGCGAATGGTTTGCATGGGTGGTCTTTGGTTATGTGATACATTTTAATGGGAAAAAGAAGGATTAGTATGAAGAGTGGTTGGAAGAGACATGAAAGAGAAAGAAATGAAAAATCAAGAGACTAAGAATTAGCCGCCAGGGTTATCCTCATGATCTCAGACCAATGAAGAAATTCTGTGTAAACCCTTTCTGGCAACAATGATTTTAAAGGAATCTCTTACTATGATTTTTGGAGAACATTGAATTAAATGTGTGACTTAAAGTCAATTGATATGTGAAATATTGAATAGCAGAGCTGGAGCTTATATGTGCTTTTATGTTATTTAATCCTAAGAGATAAGATGAACAAACACAAATGCTCATTATTGAATGTCAGCTGCTTTGTAATACACTGGAAGCCTGATGGAAGAATAATCACTGGTCTGTAAAGCTAACATGCTGCTAACTTTGCTGGAATTACTAGATGTACAGGCAGGGGAGTGATATTTTCCATAAAAGATAGCATGTGCTCTAGAATCATGGAAATCTTGTGGGGTAAAAGAAATCTCCTGTGCAAAGCCTTGGGAATGGAAATTCCTTCTATAATAATTTATTGTAATATTAGCTCTTGGATCACATCATGTATATGATGAGAAAATGTTAAGATTAGCGAAGCTGGATATTTTGTCATTATAAAGTGAGATGTTTAACTATATACAAGATTGAGTAAACTTTATGTTGTAATACAGAAAAATTGCCAGCAGCTAAAGCTGTGGGGTAAAAAACTGCATGTGTCTTGATAGGGAAGTTCAAGATAGTATTGCAAGAAAAAAGTTAGCATTAAAAATGTAAAAGTGTGAAGATAATGGGAAAACTCATTTAGTGTATCTAGATAAATATAAACAGGATCCTTTTCATATATTCATTGTGAATCTTGAATTTCTTGCAAAGGAAGCCTTTGCTAATTAGCCTAATTAGCCTTCAGCTAATTTTGAAATATGTATTTAATTTTTTGTAGATTAAGCTAGCTAAGGAATTGGTGGTACCCCTTGGAGGCAACTTCAAAAGTTCAGTAGGTTCAAAGAACATTAGAAAAATTCAGGGAAAAATGGTCCAAAAGAAATAGGAAGGGTTACATTTGTAAGAGGGAACTTTCTCTTTTGCTGAGTGAGGAGAATGGATTATAAGAAGTGGTAAGGCTGGCATAATGTCTTTTCTATGAACCTGTCTTATTGAAGTTCTTGTTTTTAAATCATTGATAGGACTGCCACCTTGCTTGGAGTGGCTTCAAACT